CGGTAGGTGCTTCTTTCTGCTTTCAGTATAAGCATATGTACAACGAGAAAATCAATAAATAGTTTCTTACAGAAAAGAACTGCGACACCCTAAGGCACTGGCAACCAATGACGGCACAAACTGAACGGTGATGTACTAATTTTCTGCCTTAGTCGTTGCTTTGTGAATGACAAAACTCTTTCGTGTAACCAAATTCCAAGAGTAGCGGTTTGTTAGATTTGTGGGAGGCAGAAGGAAAATAATTCCGTTTTTAATCTTCAGGACGAGTTAGCTTCAAACAGACACATAATTATTGGTTTTGCCTAAAATCTGTCCGTCAGTACCTGCTGACCAAGAACAACATTGAAATGAGAGAAACGATGCACCGCTTGTGTTCACACAAAAAGAAACATAAAGGATGCTCCCTAATTGTTGCAATGTTGGCACTTGTTTTTATTAGAATAGACTGTCATTTGCGGAATTCTTCTTTTAATGAAGCTGATGGTGTTGCGCTAATCTCTGCTTATGTTTCATGGAGTGTTTTGTTCTTGCTTTTTCAGACAATATTTATGGCTAGATAGCATGTAGCCATCTGCTTCGTTTTCTCGAAGTAGCTTTCATTTATTTATCACTCTAAACACGACTGATACTTATGACTTCTCGACTGCGAGTCCGACACTCTATGGACTGAGTAACAAGGCCGCATACAAACTGACCATGATTGAGGATATTATAGGCTCATATCGAACTCATACTGTACATCGTCGCAGTAAATGCTTCACTAATCGAGTCGCACGTTAATGGATCGATCAGCTAAAGTGTCTAGCACCTGTTTGATGAATCGATCTGCCTTAAAATATGTGCAGTGTTTAAGTCATGAATCGAGTGACAAGCGATTATAAAAATGCTTTGATACCTGCGCCGGTCATAAAGCATGGAAATCGAAACGGCCTACTAACTTCGCAACACTTCAACTGCCTATCTGGTTTTGAGTCTCTGTTTTAGCCCGAGCTGACATTGCTCACAAATGGAGAAGATTATGAGAATATACGTTCATCAGATGACCAGTCCTCTCTGAACAACTTACGGGTTCGCGCAGGAAAATCGTCACTTCTTACTTTGCCGATGTCATGCATAATCTTGTACTGCTTCAGCTGCACGTAATCAGACTCTGTCCTACTGTCGACGTCGTCTCCTCGTGAGGGCCTTCGGGGAAGACGGTCGTTTGAGTGGTGTGACGACGGATTCGAAGTTTCAGCGATCATCTCCATATTGTCGCTTCCGGTTGCCGCGGTGGCCCTACAGCCGGGAATCATCGTCGATCACTTCTACACAGCAGTGGCGTAGGACTGTCTTTGGATCAGCACATGGCCGATTGGACACGCCTTTTGCAGTTGAACGCGGGTCGTAGAAACGTCGAACATAGGCAGGTGGATTTCGTCGGAAAAGTCAGGGTCTCCGGCTTGACCGACCGACGCCATGCTTGTGAAAGTAGAGTAGGCTCCGTTGTTTCACTTCACTTAAATGACGACTCAGCCAGCGGCCATCCGGAACCAATCTTCAGAGAGTCAATGTCGTCGTCAGATCAAGCGCCAGCCGCATCGATCTGCCACAGTGGTCTATAAATGGCGACCTCCAAGAAGAGGAGCGTTCAAAGCATACACCGACGATCTTTTGATCACGTCGTTCCAGTTATCCTTCGCTAACATTTCAATATTGCCATCACCGTATAGAGTTGACACGTCGAACAATTGATTTGCCTGTCACCGATGATCAGAGCGCAAGAGCGATGGCTGTTCGCGCGTTTAGATGTTCATTAAGCACTTAATTAAATTCGTTCCGAAAATCTCTATTCCCTTAGACAAAAGTTTTGGCAACGTTTGTTCAAGCGGAAATTGCGGAGCTGAGGTGCAGGAGTTCCGTTTGGTGGCCGCTCATCAAAGACAACCTCAGCTGAGAACCACGGCCCGCATCTTTTCGAAGATTTTGGCACTAAATCACACACCGGGCGACCTTCAGGCGTTGATCAGAAGAGAACAGGGGCTTCGATGATGATTAACTATCTTCTTTAGAATTCAGAAGAATATGCGTCAAGTCGAATAAAAGTCAGCTCGCAAATAGGTCATAAAGCTTTCATTACAGAATCTCTGGTTTTCGTTTCCGTCGAGGCATGCAGTCCAACAAAGCTGAGCCAGCAGAATAGCAAGAACTATAAAACCTTAGATCGCCCTAGACGCACACTTAATTTGGAAGGGCTGAATTTCGTTTCGCATAAGGAGCTGGCTTGCACTTTAGAGGTAAAAAGAAGAATTCCCAATGTAAAGTAAATTTTCTTTTTAATTGCTAATCTCCTTGAGAAAGGAGTTCACCGCGATATGCACTGATGCAACCAGCCGGGCAACGGGTACAAGGTTGTCGACCTGAGAACAACATGCAAAACACTGTTCTGCGAGTCCTGCAAACGGATGAAAGAGGAACGGTCATGTTTTCACTACCTACGAACGTTTCTGTATAGGTCCTCTTTTTTCCAGAGACTCATACCTTAAAATCTAACACGCGATTTCCTCAGCCTTTGACCTTTCAATGACCCGCCGGTCTCTAAAATTTTATCAAAGCTGAACGAATTGCCACTGACGCTTTGGCAATACAAACTGCAGATTGATCGATCGCATGTGGAGTCCGAATCGGAAGAAACATATTGAACAACAACCGATATGCTATGCTCGACAGTCCTGTACATTGGTGCTTATCCCATGGAATGTTCATCAACATTCCTGCAGGGCCAGGGCTATTTTGCAGGTCCTTAGCGCGCACTGTTCAGGTTCATCGGGCTGTTAGACAGTTTATTTGACTACGTAGAGCGCAACATAATGCTGCTTATTCGGTGCTCTGGTTTCTTCTTTCCTATTTTATTCGTTTTGAGCCATTCGAAACCTGCATCAGATTTGTATCACTTATTGTCACGTAATATCAAATCTCTTCGATGTATACTTTTTTGATATAATTCCATTTTGCCTGTTAAAAAATACTGTTCATTGGTGATGTTATTCAATCGCTAAAATCAATCTTAATCTTACTCTCATTTGGAACAATGCTGCTGTCTTCTTAAACGAAACTTCTTGTTTTAATCTGGTTTGCTTCGACTATGGCTTCTATCCGTGAATCAGGATGCTAGTGTATTCAATACAATATGTGCTCAATTCATATGCAAAAATAGAAAAATTCCTGTCAACGAGGCTATTCTTTTGGATCACGGAGGCAGAGGGTAACCTGAATCTGCAGCGGCGTGTTTTGAGACATTTTTTGATGGTCATTTTTGGCCATTCTTAAGATACTCGGCGGGTCGGTTCGATAAGCAATAGCAGTTTCGCTTTCTATTCTGGAAACAATGGCAAGATGTGCCAAATTCTTCGCAACTGCGACTTCTCAATTTGACGAAGCAGTGGCGGCACGCACAACAAGGCTTTTCTCGATATATGTGCTCCGGATTATGGCGAAACATTGGAGCCCAAAGATGCGTTTCTGAAGGTCCATTTCAGGCCCTCTACCTAAGATCGAAACCTTTCATCCATGGGCTCTGACTCATGGCAGATGAAGGACCAGGATGAGGATCGATTTGAACTCAAAGGGCTTGGTTTTCAGGAATAACCGTTTTTGACTTACTAGGGTTCGGACTGGTAAATGCAAAAAATGCTGGCTATTAAATTTGATTATCGATCTCTTAATCCCACCGTTTTCCCGAATGAACACTAGCTCGAGGTACTTGAACTTTTTCGTTAATCCGAAGAGAGCAACGGGCAGGAGAACGAGAAAGCACTAGGCTTTTCGTTTTAGATGCGTTC